TGCCTCCTGCTGGTGGGAGCCACGGCGCTGCAGGTTGGCGAAGGTTTGGCTTCGCTTCCTGAACTTGAAACTCCGCCGGGGCCGGCGGCGCGGTGGTGCCCGCTCTGCCCCAGAGCGAGCATGTGACCTTGGGAAAAATCAATTTATATCTGTCCCCGTTTCACAACCGCTACCCCACATACATGTGTGCCTTTCCTAAGCGCTTTGGAACTGACAGAAAGAAATGACTGTTACTTTACATGCAGCGTGAAGTCTAATACAAGTTTAATTCATCTCATTCACCATATTCGTATACTTCTTTGCTCCTTTCTACATGCGGTGCTAAGTAGCAGTGGCTGAGAATGTGTCAGCCTGGAAAGTAGTGAGTAGGTAAGGCTGACACACACCGCTCTCTGGTGAGAAGCCCAGTCTCTTTGCTACTGTGGCTGCTGGGGAGAAGAGGAGCTTTGAAATTTTTGCACGCATGCTGTTTCAGGCCTTTCTTTTTAGGCTGTGATCTTTTATAGTAGCTTCCAGCCAGGGAAGGTCTGGAAAAATAATAAAAATGCAACTCCCTCTCTTTTCAGGTGGAGTGGAGAAGTCCTTCTATCACCTCTACTCTCCAGTTTCCAAATTGCTATTAATGAAAAGGAGCTGATTTTCCAGTCCCTACCAACCTCCATTGTTTTTTCTGCTGAATAGCTTAAACCTATGCATCTGATTCTGTTTTCAGTTTTGCTAAGCAGACTACGTGAAGGACTTGTCAGGAATGCAGAGCTTGCCTGCACTTATCAGATGGGCTAATCAACCATTTGTTAAATTTATTCTCCTTTTCAAAACTTGAAAGAGGAATAGCAGTAGACAAACTGGAGCAAACCTGGCATTACCCATGTATATCCAGTTCAAATGCAAATAATGCATTTTCTTTAATCTTTGTTTTCTGAAAATAGGGCAGTTCTGGCATGTATCTGACCTACATTTAGATCCGACTTACCACATTACCCCTGATCGCACCAAAGTTTGTTCTTCTTCCAAAGGAGCCAATGCCTCCAACCCAGGCCCTTTTGGAGACTTTTTGTGTGATTCTCCATATCAGCTTATTTTGTCAGCATTTGCATTCATGAAGGATTCAAAACAGCAGGTTTCGTTCATGATTTGGACGGGGTAAGTGTGCAAGTCACTTTGCAGTTAAAGCTTTTGACAGCTGGATAACCATATAGTGCAGTAATTCACAAGTTTATATTTGCACCAACAGATCCGAGTTTAGTATCTCACGAATGCTACTTTTAAATACTCCCTTTAGTTGTCCAAATGGGTAGTAAGTGGAAGTCTGAGTGAGAATATAAGGCCTGAGGAAGACATTGTGTCTGTAGCAATTTCTGGATATTGTTGGACTTGTCCATTGGGACATTTACCACATGAGTGTATTAGTGTAAGTTAATAGAAATGGTGCAGGGACGGTGGGAAGTGGAAAAAGCAAAAAGAAAGATCAGAGGAATAACTGACAGGAATGAATTATGATGGGAGGTATTGAACTTTGTAGGTCTTAAGGTCATTAAATCTGAAGTGCATCCCTTTTTAGAAGATACTCTTTAACTTTTATTTGGCTCTGTAAGAGGTAACTAGAATCAAGCAATACTATAGCTTATGTTTGTTTGTTGTTTTTTTTTTTAAAGTGTATAAAGGTACTGTTTAGGTTTGGTGCCTGTATGGATTGTAGACCAGGGGCTAGCAGGGGGAAAATAACAGTGTTGTGGATGCTGTCTCTCTCTTCATTACTATCACTCATAGCTGCATCTGCTTCTAAAGGAAGTGTGGTTTCACAGTCGCTTTTTACAGTATTTTGGATGTGTGTAGCCCCCTGTTGAGTAAAACGTTTATGTTTTCAAATGTGCCAATCTCCCTTATTAGAAAATACTCTCTCTCACACACAGGTGTTATCTGTGAGGCTTTGTGTGCCTTAGCAGTGGGACTGGAGAAAGAAGTGTGAAAGGGAGGCATATGAGTAGCTTAGTAGTACCATGCCCTGTTACTTTCTAGGTATTCATAAAAGACAGCATTAATTTACCCTTCTGCCATAGCAAAATTTTCCATTCTACCATCACATAATTTTTTATGGCATGCATCGATGGATCATTTATCAAAGACATTAGTTCTTTGAGTGTTTGTGAGAACTAAGTTTGTTTATCAATAGCGGGGTCTTTTTTGCTGGAAAGGTTATATGTGTTACGTCACTTAATTTTGCTGGGAGAAGGGTGTTAAGCAATATGAATATGTAAAGGCAAGTGGTTAATTTATTTCACTTACCTTATTGTACTTAATTTTCAACAGGGTGTTGTTAAAAGGGGAAGAATAAACTTACAAGATTGTGCAGATGCCGGAAGTTATATAACCCAAACTGCCCAGTAACTCAAAATGATGGAGTTGAATTAATTTAATTTCTAAGAAAGCTTAGTTATGATAAATGTGAATCATCTGATAAACATTAGTCTACTTGTTTGTTTTTTTTATTTTAAATCTTTTTTTTTTAAAATATCCTTTACAGAGAGTGTTTCATGCAATTCTATGATTTTAATTAAAGAGTCTATATATACATACATGCTGAATGTAGATGTGTTTGCAGAATTTTTTGTCTTTCCTTATGTTGCTAGTAAAACTTTGTTAATAAAGCCTTTTCCTTTTTCAGAGATAGCCCTCCTCATGTTCCTGTAAAAGAACTCTCCACAAAGTTGGTCATTAGCATCATTGGCAATATGAGTTCTACAATTCGTAGTTTCTTTCCAGATCTTCAGGTTTTCCCAGCCTTGGGCAATCATGACTACTGGCCACAGGTAAAACAAGTTAGAAATTTGCTTATGTGTCATATTGAGTGTGTTGCTAACCCCTCAGAAAGCAAGTGTGAAAAATGAGTTGAATTTATGTAACTATTATTCTGGAAACATTATTCTACAGTTCTCCAATTAGCATTTAAAATTATAAATAATTCCAATCAAGAACAGAAAGTTCATCTGTCTCTCTGTGTTAAGTTACCCAAGCAAATGTTGATGCCAGGTAAAATCTGTACCTTGCCTGAGGTCATGCAAATTTACTGGTAATTGTTCTTCATGGCTTAGAACCAGCACGGCTCATACACACTTTTTTTTTTTTTCTTGCTGTGTAAGTCATGCATGTGTGTACAATAACTCAATCTAAGAGAAATTACATCCTTAATGTATCTGTGAGCCCGTGGTAAGATTCAAGGCCTACTGGAAATATGTCTGCTGACATCACTGGATTTTTTTATCAGAGTAATGGCAGAATTTTTGTAATGTTCCCACAGTTTTCCCACTTATTAAAAATAGGTATTTTTTTTCTTTCCTTATTGGACACTTAGAAATATTTGCATTGATAATTTACTGGGTGTGTGTGTGCCATTGCAGCTGAGGACAGTGCTTTTTTACTTTCAGTGTTCTGTGAATATTGTTCTTGGCATAGCTCAAAAGTAAACAGTTGCTTCATGTGTCCTTTAAAGCATATTGCGGGTTGTTCTGGCAGCAAACAGGACTGAGAAGCAAATTCTGTCATTGGATCTGAGGGGATCGGAAGGGATGTGGAGCAGGTCAACTAAAATATTTTATTTGAAATACCTGATGGGAATTCAGTAACACCCCTTCACACCACCAAAGGCTTTTATTGCAGCTTTCTGTGTTATTCATGAGGCCTACCATGGTGTATCTTGGTGTAGTAGGTGATTGTATCATTGCCTGTATCATTGCTGGAGTTAGTGATTCCCAAATCAGGGAGTAACAGAGGTGCTCAGAGAGGGGAAAGGGAAATGTGAGAGGCAAAATAAGAGCTAAACATATCTCGGAAATGTGAGTGCACAAACCAAGTTGGAACTTCAGTCTCTCATGCTCTTACTCTGGTATTGTAGCTTCAGCTTGTCATATGCGCTGACAGGGGCTGGGTTGGTTCACCAGAAACCCCTCGTAAAGTATTTTGATAGATCACACCTTAACTGAAGTCTCATTCAATGTTTTGTTTTCATTTTGTTTTGTTTTTTAAAAAATCTGAACAGAGAATAGTTGCACTGAGCCGTCTCCTTTGATATAGATGAAAAAAACTGTATGCAGTAACCTTGTAGACAAAGTGTAGTCGCTTTTCAAACAAGTATGAGTTTTGTTTGTGAAATTAAATCTGAAGACAGAAAAAAGATGGTCAAGAGGGGCAGACAGGCAGCAAACAGTATTTTGAAGCAGGCTGCTGATTGGAATAACTGTTGTAGTTCCCTTTGCCCAACACCGCACAGGAGTGTTTCTGTGTTGCTGTGCTGTGAAATGGCAGGCTTCACCAACGTGCAGAACTGACATACTTTTCTGTTACTGTTTGAAAAAGACCATGGGATCAGAAATTCCCCACTATGGGGTCATTTCAGGTTGCTGAGTTGGGTTTTGTTTTTTTTTTTTTTTTTTTGGCTGTTGATGACATTTCTGTTTTTCATATGGACATGCTTGGCAAATGTCCCATAGACTGGAAGCAATATGGAGCAAGCCACACACTGCAGGCTGTTCCAGAGCAAGTGTGAAAGCTGCGTGCTCACCATGCACCGAGGAATTTTATTACTCTTTATTGTGTTCTGACCTGTCTGTCTTAACAATTTAACGGTCTTGGGTGATTTTTCTTGCGGAGCCTATTAAAAATACTACTCAGGTTAATCAAGCATCGGGGTACCTTTCAGATCGTATATTGTGACCTCGGTCTTTCTGCATAGTCTTATTTGTTTCACGTCCTTGCCCCTGCTTAAAACAAATTCCCAAACTGCTGTCTAATCCTCAAGTTCACAGAGCACTGACTGGCCTGGGTCCAAACCACCTTCAGTCCATAACATAGCCTCTTATCTGAGATGAGGTTTTGCTATGTCTGTTAGTGACTGTTAGCTCTGGCTGAACTGGTATGGCTCAAAGCTTTCTTAATAACTAGTGTCTGTGCACTGCAAGCAGCAAATGTCTGAACAGACTTCTGATTGCACTGCTCCTAGACAGAGACTTAGCACCTAAGCCTCTAATAACGTAGGTTTAGTTTCAAAGATCTCAGAAAGGTCAGATTTTATGTTTAAGAAAACACGCACTGTAATACTGTTCCTATTTTTTGACCTCTGTTTTTTTTTTTTCTTCTAGCACCAAGAATCCAAGCAGATACTTTAGGAAAGGCAAGGACAGGCTGGGATTTTTCTATCAGGGCTAGACGAGAGCGTGGCTCTTACCAGGCTGTGGCGCTTGGGCATTGCTTGGCTCAGACTGAAGAGTGCTACAGTCCTAATTAGAGCCGGAGGGAGAAAACATTGACAAAATTTTTCTTTTACATTTTACTAGAACTACAGGTTATCATGGAATATTTGTGAATTTCACCAGAACGTTTCTGAGGGCTGTAGTGGAATTTTGGAGAGCTGCTATGAACCCCAAGTTGCTTGAAAAATTCACCTTCTATAAAAGAAGCTTATTCCAAGCTTTTCCTCCAAGAGGCTTCATTTTTAGACTTTGAATCTTCAGTTTATATATATATTAATTTTGAAGAATGTATGGTTTTCTACTCTGCTGTGCTCCTAAGGCTTGAAATAATTCTGGCATTAGTTTACCAATGCATTAACAGGGCCCTGCAGTCAGTTATGACTAAGTTCAGGCATTTGTTCCTGATCAGCAATACTGGATATTCAGAAGTTTTTTTCCTTTCTTGAGTTCCTTCTGGTAATGACTGGGTACACTTGTGTTATGTGAGAGGTCAGGTGGGATAATTTAGTGAGTTTTTTTTTGTGTGTGTGTGTCTCTGTGTGTCTGATTGCTAAGACTTAGGCAGATTCTGCTTTCTCACAGGATCAGCTTCCTGTAACTACCAGTGAAGTTTACAATGCTGTAGCAGATTTCTGGAAACCCTGGCTAACTGATGAAGCAATCAATACCTTTAGAAAAGGTAAAATATGCCAGTAATGCATTGTAAAGCTAGGGCTTAGAGAACTAATGTTTCTATAGATTTGTCCTGTTTGTTTAGCTAAGTCTCATAGGATGGATCAACACAATGGATTATCTGTAATGCTTCTCCTGGAAGAAGTTACTTGTCTTTTTGAATAGCAATGCTTATTTTCAGGGTACATTTATTCTCTTCTGGTGCAATAATTACTGCTTCTTGTAACATGTGCAGTATTATTGGCTTTGTACCAATGCATGTGAAATATCTTACTGCCTTCAAGACCTCATAATACTTTTTAGATAAAGGTGTATGATGGACAGAAGACTTAAGTTTGGTTGTAAAAAAAAATTGATGAAATGTCGATTCTGTTTTGGCAATATATGTATCTAAGAGGATTTTGATAGGCACATATTTGTTCGAGTTATGATAGTCTTGGTGATTATACTGTTGATTGCATCATATTTGTGTCCAAATTACAAAACTGGGAGAATATTGATATCCTAATTATGATTTATCTTTTTAGCAAAGCACTGAACCCAGTTTCTAATCCACTGAAATGTTAGGGATTTGAAAGTGTAATTTGTGGTTTTGTGTCCTGAATGAGAAGGAGCTCTGGGTAAGAGTGGAAGTAGAAACTCTATTAGGAAAAATAAAACTCTAAGGGACAGACCTTAAGTTAAGATACATTGTTGTAACTCTGTTGCCATGGCTCTATAGAAGTCCATGAACTATGAAATTGCACCCATTGAAGAAGCTCTATATGCCATGAAGAGTTTCAGGAGCTTGAACTGGAAAACGTGAGCTTGACTTTTCATCGTATTCCAGTCTGAAGTTAAATGACTTTCAAACAGTTCTTCCTGGAGGAACCTCTATATTTGCAGTATTTCAAGCAATGTGGACTTTTTAACAATTACTGCATCTCTCAGTATGGAAGAAATGTTACGGGGCGCTTCTTGCATGTCAGTTGGATAACTGCATCTGAAAACTGTCAGCTAAACGCAAAGACAATTACAAGAATTCATAAGAAATTCAGTGTCAACTTCTCCTACTAAAGTGTTGCTAAAAACACGTTCTTAAGATGTTCTGCTGTGATAAGGTGATGCATGGCTTGAATAAACATGCCATATTCTATTTTATTAGGAAGAGTAAAGCTGGGTATTTTGTCAGTGCTGTATTTTCATTCTGAAGTTGTGCTTTTAAGCTTTTAATTTTTTGGATGATATTGGTCTTATTTTCACAGGTGGCTTCTACACACAGCTGTTTGAGTCCAGTGATAGCTCTCAACCACTCAGGATAATCAGTCTGAACACAAATTTATATTACAGCCCCAACAGTGTAACTGTGAATATCACTGACCCAGCCAACCAGTTTGCCTGGCTGGAGGGAATACTAGAAACCTCTTCACAAAAGAAGGAAAAGGTAGGGGCTGTGAACAGAACGCATCAGCATTATTTGTTTAAACTTTGAAAAGAAAAAAAAAAAAAAGGAAGTAATATGTAGAGACAACGAAAATATAAACAAGCCTTCAATTTTAAAATATGTACCCTTGGCCTGAGGCAGAAGCTAGCATATTTAATTTATATTTTGATGTAATTACAAGTATCAAAATTAGAAATTAGGAAGGAGTTTGTCAATGACAAAACTTAGCCAAGCTGCAGCAATTGCTATAATTTGAGTGTTATAATAAATCATTGTATAATACTCAGGTTCTCAAGTGAGGTTATAAATTGTAGTCTCATGTTTGATTGTTTGGTGCGGGGATTGGATCATCATCTGACCAGAAAAAGTGTTTAATTTGAAACATGTTTACATTTTGCTACGGTGTTGTAATTTTGAAAATATTGTATTACAGTCGGGAGAAGGGAGAGGTTTCCCTTCCTCCTAAAACCCTGCAGCATATCAGTTGGTGTGTGCAGTTGGAACCAAGTCTCAGCCTCAGACAGAGGGGTTTTTAACCAGTTCTTCCATGTTTCTGGTGACTCTCTGACCATGCAGGCTCTATAATATTCTAACATAAGTTTTTCTTACTATCCCCTGAGATGCCAAATCGTAAGTCTTGCCCTAGTAGCTTATTTCTTCATTTGAAATAATTGATTTTCCTTTGGCCTAAAATTACACACAGATTTATTGGAAGTTTTTTCCCAAGAATATACTGAATTAACTAAAAAAACACCTATTTTTTTCTGATTATGAATTTAAACATTCTTAATGTTTATATTTCGTATAATAAAACTGTCATGATTTAAAGCTTTCAGAATGCCATTTCTGAGATAGCGTTATTATGAAATTGTGGTAACCATTTCTAAGTTACAGCTAAAAGCATAAGTTTCAAATGAGGGTGCTAATTGTGCTTTCTGTATCTAATTCCTTTGGTATATATAATAGGACATGTACCAATAGGATACTTGCCATATGCAAAGAATACTACTGCTATCAGGGAGTATTACAATGAGAGACTGGTAAAGATTTTTCGCAGATACAGTAGTGTTATTGCGGGGCAGTTTTTTGGACATACGCATAGAGATAGTATCATGGTCCTCCTGGATGAAGAAGGTAATGATGCTTGTTGAATCCTTCATCTTTTTCTTCTTGATTAAAAGCAAATTAATACGTTCTTGCACATTCTTACTAGTCAACCTCTGTCGTAAAGAATTGAAAAAGGGAATTGGGAAATACTGCTATTTATCTACAAGAGTTCAAGCTTTGCACACTTCCATTTTTTTTTTTCCAAAGAGAACCTTGCAAGGCAGACTGTCTTTTTTTTATTGAAGTCAGAAGAGACTCCCCAAGCTTCCAAGCTTCCTTTTTTTTTTTTTTTCTTTTTTTAATGAATGCTTATGAGTAGACAAGAATTTCTAGTCTTTCCTCTCTGCTCTCTCAGTGACATGGGCAAATTATACTAGCCAGTTGCTATTGTGTAATGTGTCAAAGGGAATGTTCTCAGGCCAACCAGACATGCTCTATGTTCTTGTGTTTCCTGCATCATTACTGTGCCTCTCTGCTGAGTTCCCTGCTGCTTCAAAGTTAATTAAGATAAGGGTAAGCAGGAGGCAGGGGAAGGAAAGTCTCTGCCTGTTGCATCTCTTAGATCAGCTAATTTCCCTTCAAGAAAAGCACCCAGGTTTGAAAGTTTTGTTTATTGCTTTGAAATCCCTTATTTTTAAGCATGGGCATGGCCGTATGGAGAACTCTAACATCTCTAACGGAAGATCTCTAACAAGTAACAGGTTAAATATTTGTGTGTGTACCATAAAACAGCCGAGAGGTCCGTTGCTTTGGTTTATGTAAAATATCCAAATATTAATTGTCTCTTTATTTATGTTTTATATGAACTCATAAAAGCAATGCCCAAAATGCTGACTGGGGTAACAGTATTCTAAATAATTTACCTTTTTACATGGCATTATCATGGAATTAATTTAAAGAGTGAAATTGCATGTAGCTAAATACAGGGTTTTTTTATCTGTATGGTTTTAGGCTGCCTTCCATTCATGCCATTTTCCTCTTGACAAAATTGCAGAGAATTCAAGATAAATTTAATATTGTAGCCAACATCAGTGTATTGAGATACAGAGCTCCGTTTTACCTTCCCCAGAAGAATCTACTGATTTCCAAGCTTTTAAAGCTTCCGCTCATATCTGGAGACTGACCTTGTGATTTCACTGCTGTGATATTGTCAGGGAAAGGAATAGTTAGGGCTTCTTTTTTGTTCCACAGAGAACCTCTCAATGTACTTACCTGCATATTCTGTCTAATTAAAATCCACGTACGCACCCTCATGTTTCAGTTGCTATAAAGATCAGCGTTCACATAGTAGGTGCTGGGTTAGTCTAGATGAGTGAAGTCAGGGTCAAGTGGTGATACCCTAGTGTTTCTAATAACACCATGAATACATAAAGCAAAAAATACATAAAGCAACATGTAAAATATAGCATGGAGACAGTAACTAAAAGTTTTGAATATTTCTTCAGTAGAAATATGCAAAATACAGAGACCTTGCATATAGGCAAGCCCATTTTGCACAGGTAGTTGAATTGGGGGAAAGCCTCTAGTATGGACAAACTTAACTGGTACACACTGAGATGTGTACCGTGGTATTCTACACAGATTTTGGTCTATCCGGTGGAAGTATAGAAGGAGTTCACAGTTCTATAGTTAATCCAGGGGGGGAAAAAAGCGCTAACGTATCTAAGCCAGTTACTCTGGTTCTTGCTGTGTTGCTTCTCTAAAAAAACATTTGCTTGAGAAATACATGATCGAAAAGAAACTGTTTCCTCACTTTCCCTTTTCCTGCAGAAAAACCAGTAAATTCCTTGTTTGTGGCACCCGCTGTAACCCCAGTGAAGAATGTCTGGCAAATGGAATCCAATAACCCTGGTGTCAGATTGTATCAATATGATCTTCTTGATTATAGCTTGCTGGTAGGTAAAGATTTTAAAGCATTGTTTAAGACCTTAAATTATAGCATCATTAAAAATTACAGTGAGATGTCAGCCTTTGTAGCATTATGGCTATTGGTGGAACTTTGGTGCTTACTCATTATTTTTCTTCCTGGGCAAAGGAAATGAAATCTGAAAGAGAACTTGGTCAGTCTCTCTGTGCCTGCAGGACTACCCAGTACTTCCTGTTCTCTATGGAATATTCTTACGATGCAGAATCAAAGACAGTCAGAAATTTTCTGGGCAGAATTCTAAAACTGTTTGCAGGGATCTCTGCAACAGTGAAAAAGGGTCACCTAAATCCTGGGCTTGTTTACATACCAATGTTGTTTGCTGATGATAGCCTGAGCTTTGGGATGCAGTCTATGAAATGCTTCTAAAGGGTGTAGAAGAGCAGATAAACAAAAGCACTTTTAACCATGTGGTGTCTTTTGTAATCATGCACTTTCCTGTATAGAGTGTATACTTTTAATGGGAAATTATAGAAAAATTTAGAAGGAAAAAAGTAGAACACTTCTATTCTGTAGTCTCATGTGATTTTTGGAGATAAAGTGAATCCTGTATAATTATTTTGGCTCTGAATAACTTGGATATTCTCTCTGTAATTCAGGGTAAAATCTTGACCTCGCTGAGTTCAGTGACAATGCATAGTGCAGCTTGACTGGGACTGGGGTTTCTCTCTGGAGACCCATGCTAATACAAGCTGCTCCTTTCTTGTGCAGATTTCACTCCTGCGTCTCCATCTCTCCCTTTCCCTTAAGTTCTTCCTGGGCTGTTCTTTTTCTGTCCATTCTGCCCCTCAAGCCGTGCCCTCAGAAAAGAAACTTCTGGTTCTCACCCTTTTGCCCCACTCCTAAAGCAGACATGAGCATAGTGGAGTTTGCTTTACAGTTTGGACAGGAAAGACCTCTAACACTGCTACTGCTGCCTTTTGTGGCTCCTTTTTCTTCTCCTCCCCATCCCCCCACCATTACCGCGCTGCAAGTACCAGCTTTGGGTGTAAGCCCAGCTCTTGGGGTGGGACGTGACCTTCTATTCAGTTGTGAATAATGAGGAGTGACAGCTTCCTAATCAATATATCACTGTAGAGACTTAATGAAGCAGGGAAGAAAGTAATACAGCCATGCCTATTTTTTCTTTCTTTCTTTTCTTTTTTTTTTTTTAACTGTAGGATCTTTGGCAGTTTTACTTGGACCTCAGAGATGCCAACAAGAAAAATGAATCGAACTGGAAATTAGAATACATCTTTACTAAAGCTTACGGCATTGAAGACTTGAAACCAGAAAGCCTATATGAAGTGGCCAAGCAGTTGTCTGTGCCACACAGTACACTGTTTGAGCAGTATTACAGTAACTTCATTGTGAGTTATGATAAAACCATTGTCTGTGAAGAGGGGTGCAAGACCTGCCAAATATGCGCAATCCAATATTTGGATTACTCCTCATACACAGATTGTGTCAATCGGGAAGCAACGTGGAGATGAAGTCTGTGCAATTTATGCTGTTACTGACTTTAGTGTGTGATTTAAAGAACCTGCTCATCCTTTCGCTCAAGCACGGATGGAGCCTTACTGGAAGCCTATGGGACTTCTCTGAATTTCAGGGGAGCAATCAATCTCCCTAGGTCTTTCTTCTTGTAAGCATATTTTCCTTACACATCTAAATAAAAGTTTATTGGCTATGTAATAATGGCCAGATACTTTGCTGTTGTTTCAAGTGTCCTGTACCCTCTGTAACAGGCATCCAAGTATGTGGTATTAGAATTTACTCACTCAGTTCTTTAGAAATCCAAGTCTCTTTTTCTCAGGGTGTGTAAACGTAGTCAATGCCATTTCAGGCATGGGATTTGTGTGGGGCAAGTTTCAACCATCTGCTGTCACAATTTGCAAACTGAAATCTGCAAAACCTGCATTTGCTGAGACTGGAGTGCAGTTATGTTGTTGATGCGATGCCAGTGTTAGATATCTCACCGTGCCAAGTTTCCTTTTCCTTCTTAACCCCTTAAATCTGCCTCTGTTTAGGGGCATATTCTAACCACAGCATCAAAGTGACTTAATGGAACACAAACCTCCATCCTGTAAATACTTACTGCATTTTTTCAGAATGTGTGTGTTTGTTCATCACAAAGAGCTTTTTTCCTATGATAGAGCTATGTATGCTGCTATCAAGAAGACTCCTGCTGTGAGATTTTGAAGCAGAACATACATCAGGTTTAAATTGATCAACATCACTAATTGGACATAGCTTGTACATTCTCTGTGCAGCACAGGTAAATGTGCACTTGACATGGTGTTTCTCAGGTTTCTTTTTTCATAGAGCAGTCTAGTACTTAATGTGAAAATTATCACATGTATGAATTTGCAATTGCACAGACCACTTCTTCCTCTTCTTGTTATTAAATGTGTCCACAAGATGATAATATTAAGAAGGCCATTTATCTAGTGGGTATTACCAAGAAGGACCTTTACCTGTTTTTCTGTCACTTCGAAAGCTATGCTTTTGGAACCTTTGGTCAGTATAATACCATCCAGACCTGACTCTAGATAATATTCCAGAGTTAACTGGAGCTGTAGAAGTGGTATGAGACACATCCGATTGCTAACTGTTTTGTTTTCATGAGATTAAAACCTTTACTGTAGCTGTTGAGGAACTTTCTGGTTTTGTTTCCACCCAAGCTTGAAATATTTAGCAGAATATTTCCGGACAAATATGCTAAGTCTGTAGTATTCACAACTGTAGACGCTGATACCTCAGATTCGTCATGCATCAATCATCCACAGAGGAAATGGTTGGTTTGTTAAATTTGCATTCAGAAACAAATCCTCCAGTGGTACTAATGTTTAGAAATGCCATTAATAATGCACTGTAGGCCGTCCTTTATTTTAAATTCTGTGCTTGGAGAGGGAATGGTGTGCATGTAAACTCTTTAGAGCTATCTGTTCTGGCTGATCACAAATGTATCTGGATATGTAAATAACCTGAATTAATGTGGGTTCTGTACAGACTGTGACTGTGAGGAAGTACCGGAAAGTTTCAGTGCTGAAAGCTGATGATTCCCTCCGTGTTGGATGCGTTTCTTGGTTGCGTTTCACATGGGTTTGTTCATGAAAAAATGCCTCTGTTACCAGTATCTGTTCTCCAAGGGCAAGCAAGCAAAGCTGTGGGCGGATAGCATAAGGGCAATTGCAGCTGATAGCTGAGCTTCCTCCAGTTTGCCAGATGGGTTTTCTTCAATTCACTCTTGTGCTTTGAACAACTGTCTCTTTTCTCATACTGGTTTGTTTCTGTGAGTTCTGTTACTTCTGTTTGAGCTTAAGACCTACGAGACATCCTGGAAACACTCTAAAAATGATGTAGTTGTATTCTTCCATTAAGGACTTCTTTATTGCTGAACTTCAGGGAGAGCTGAACCACATGGCAGATTAGTAGCTACAGAACTCTGGGAAGAGTGGTGTGCTGATGATGGGTTGTTGGGCATCTTGCTCCCTAGATTTCTTTTTTTGTGTATGTGTGTCAGTAGATGTTACTTAGTAAGCATGAAGAAATAAGTGCCTACAAATGTCTAAATAGCAAGCTATGATCCAGACGTACTGTCTTTTAATCTGGTCTTCAGTTGAAATCAGGAGTTGGATGGCATCAGCCAAGGAGGTTGTTTTTGTTTCAGCCAGATGGATATATCCACCAGGGTTACATTTAGCCAGGGTATGTCCTCCAAGATACACCCTGTTACGCAGGCTAGCGTTCTCTGCTGCTCCTGCGTGTAACTATACTCGCACAAGTGCAAGTGCAGAAAGATGCAAGAGTATGTTTGACTGCATCATCTTGTCACTCAGACGTAAGCCGAGGGGAGAGCTTCTAGGAATGTTACACTGTAAAAAAACATGAGATAAACCACATGAACAGCTTACATGGCACCTGGGTGTAAGGGGAAATAGAGGACGGCAACGATATTTTTGTTTCAGATTCCTACTTTATTCCTTCATGGATCTAGGAATGTTATAAAGGTAAGTTATCCTTTCTTGACAGAAGCTTTTTTAAGGAATCATAGAAAATGCCACAGAGGCATCACCTGATAAAGTTTCTGGCTTCTGTAGACCAGATTCCTGTTTCACTTTTCCTATGGTGTCTTGTGGCCCATCTTGAATGAAGGATTAGGGGGAGTATTTGTAAGGCCATGTTTGGCAGAAAGACAAATTACACCACCTAGTGGAGTAAAAAGCTTTTCATTTGTCTACAATTAAACTTGAGGCATATAGACAGAGAGAGTACTCAAATATTCTAGGATTTAACTTCTACTTTTTGAAGGGAGGTATTTTTTGAAGGAAGTACTGCTACTTCTTTGTAGCAGTACTGCCATGTAGCACGCTTTCTGTGGGTATTAAATGGTTGCTGGCTGCTAAAGGCCATGCCACTTGATGGATCCTGAACCCTGCGGTAGGTGCAGGTTTCAGCCCACATCCAGGGAAGAACTGGAGCCTAGAGAAGGGATCCTCTGAGTCCAGCTCAGCTAGGCAGCAGAAAAGTGATGTGACACCAAAGATCTATCCCTAAGCAGGCTGGTGTCTCCTTCCAGTTAGTTTCTGTGCTTTTAATTGTCTCCTGGAGTTAACTGTCTGAGCTTATGTCTACCTTAACAGGTACTGCAGCCTAATGGGAGTGCCTTCTTTGACAGCAGAATCAGTGCTGAGGAGCTGATGTGACTGCTACACATTTCATTAGCAGTTGGAGGACATTGGATGTACACTTGTGCAGCAGCCAACTGCGGTCGCATCTGAAAGAGCACTTTCCAAGAGCACTCTGCAACATGAATAAAAGCACAGTAAGTGGGGCTGATCAGTAAACTCTATTTGTTCAAAGGTGTGCTCCTGATCCAAGCTAAAGTGAAGGTGCATCCAGAGGCCAACGTTAATTGCTTTAGATTGGGGCCCTCAGAAGTGTCTGGATGTGATCTCATCATTTCTATTGTTTTTCACTTGCCAGCCTGAAGAAATTGAAATGACTGGAGGAGATGAGCAGTGAGTGAACATATTGTTAGTAAAATTGAAGTGATGAACTTAAGTTGTCTAAAGACAGAAATAGGTAACTAATTACACTTAGTCCCTTGTGGTTCATTTCCTGTGTGGACAACTGATGAGTGCGTAGCATCAAGAATAAGTATCTAGTTTAACACTGTCATGTAAGTTCCCTCTGTGGAAATGGCGATCTCAAGAAGGTGAGTTGTCACATTGGTCTAAAAACAAAACCTCTTGGAAGTCCCTCTCATGCCCAGTTAAGAGGAACTATGACAGTGTCAATGATGAAAGTGACTGTAACTGTCTAAACAAGATTAGTTGCTTTCCTTCCTTATTTTCCGAAAGCTGAAGGCTAGCTTTTTTCTGCTTACCACTACAGCTTTCAACAAGAAAATATTACCTTAGATAATTCATCTGTCAGCCCCACCTTTCTTGTCCTACCTAGGAATTCTATCAGTTTTGTTATTTGCTGGTCTGCAAAGAAGCCTAGTGTAAAATGAATGTTGTTTTCACACTGGGTGTGAAATATCACAACTGTAGAAATTCGGAGAAGAAATGACCAAAAATGCTAACCATCTTAATGATTATGCATAATGATTATGCTTAATTAGTTTCTGATGGTTGTGGGAATGGCAAATGCAGTGTGCTTGAATCAACATTGCTACTGAACACTGTACATCAGTTTCTGTGAAAGTAGGTATCAGGACAGTGGTCACATCATAACAAGGGAATCGCTTAAAGCCAAAAATGTTGAAAGCAAAACCACTGGAAATGCGGCAAACTCCAGCCCCAAGCGCTTAGTGAAGCAGTAGAAAGGGCATGGATGTGCTAACAGATCTGGCCAAATTAGAGCTTTTCAGGTGTAATTTATGTTGACTTCAGAGACAGAGCTATATTGAACGCCTGTCTGGAAAATTCTTCTGTTATCTGCATTTCTGTCAAGTTGTGATCTGAATCTACCTGTCAAATGTTTTACAGCTAATAACTGAAATATTCCTCCATCGCATCTTCCAGCCTGCATTGGGTAAGAAAATTGGACAGTTTGTTCTTGTACCCTATAAACTCTGTTGGATTTTAAAGCAACCACTCAGACATCAGGGATAATTAAGCTGGAGAAGTTTCAAATGTGGAGCTGGGTGAAAAAAGTTTTTCCCATCCTGAAAAGCATCCTGAGATTTCAATATTTCCCACTGGAATAAAACCAAGACCTTCTTGAGGTTTTAGGCAGGGAGATACGCAAAATGGGGATTTGCACCTGAGTCTGCCACCCTCCCCCTCAAGCACTTGCTGTGCGTCTGTCGTGGTGTTGACTATGCTTTCTCCTTCTACCCTGGAACTGAACAACCTTCTAAATTAAAATTTTCATTGGAACTGTTACATTTATATAAGAAGTTCTGGTATCGACACAGCATTTTCTACTGAAAACTGTTAAGAAATTCTCAAGAACTTCTCCCACATGCTATAAAGTTTGACACCTTGCCGGTCCAACACAGTACATGTCGATGGATACACAGCAGCAGCTTTGTTTGTTCTATATAATCTATGGTAGTTCGTGTGGTCCAGGTGATCAGCTGCTAAAAACTGACTTTGGAGCAGTGAAATCAGTGAGGTGATGAATTAATTAATAAAGTAAGGAATAATCCTACTTGAGATTCAGGAATGGGTTTTCAAAAATACCTAAAAACTATTTCTGTGTGACATAGTGCAGTCCTACCTGGAACTGAACAAGCAGACTCAGGTCACAGTAGTAG